AAAAGAAAAACCCAAAAGTACCTTCATACTCCTATCTTGGCGACAAAACTGACTTGAATAAAATACTCTGTTCCCTGGGCCTCCTCCTGGGGTGCAGAGGGGTGGACAGAGACACCAGAGTGCTCCCTGACTCTGATGCCCAGAGCCCTACCGCAATATCCCATCTTTTCACTGAAGACTGTGTAATTTTGTGTAATTTTGAAAGGACACAGAAAACACCACCTGCTTTCCTCCCGTGATGACAGCAATGCAGAGTCAAAGCAGCCGCCCTCCCGGCACAGGAAACCTAGACTAAGGGGCCTGCGAGACCACCACAGGACCGTACGGAAGGAGGGGGCACAGCGAGCGTCCGGGTGGAGGACAGACAGACCGAGGGTCTGCTCTGTGATCAGTGTGGTCCTGGACATGGAACGGCTGCGTGGCGTTTCCTTGGCAGGAGAACCTGGTATGTGCAGCACCCAGGGCAGGGCACCGGCTCTCCTGTAATTTATGCCAGAACTCTACTGAATGGTAGCTACAGCCGTTCTGGTTAACGATGAACATTTCCTGCCGTCAAGCCTTCAGCCACTGCAGCCGTCCCCCTGATGGGGAATTTGGGATGGAGAAAAACTGGATACAAGCCCTAGACGGTTAAGATGCACATCAAAGGAATAATTTCAGTGCACCCAGACTCTCAAATCTTCCCATCGGAAGGTGCCAAAATCATTAACCTGAGATGTCGGGGGTTGGTTTGCTTATTTTTTGTGTGTGTGGGGTTTTTTTTGTTTTTTGGATTAACAGTAATCTTTGGATGTCTGACTACATGGTTTGGTTTTGTTTTTTTCCGAGCAAAAACTCCTGTGTATCCTGGCTGCTCCTTTACCTCTTTAAACAGCCCCTCAGAGCTCTCTGAGAGGCTGCCTTCCCAGGCTACCATCGTAAGTAACGTCCTTGAATAAAACATAATTTGCAACCTTTAGGTTGTGCATTTTTTTTTCCAGTTGACGGAAGGTACTTATTCCCAGGCACAGTTTGAAAACACAAAAATGAACGATAACTTTTTTTTAAAAAGTCACAATTCAATTGTGGTTCAAAGTGCTTGATCTGTTATTAATCCCCAGGTTGGCTTCAGAGCATTAACTGCATTATAGTAATTAGAGAATATTATTTGTGGTCAAACGTCCAATCTGAATTATCAACTGAAATGTTCACTCCAGTATTCTCACACCAACACTGGAAGGTGATTTGCCTCACTAATCAAAAGGCAAAATTGTGGTAGCTCACAGCAGAAAAAAAATGTAACAACGAATACATGTATGTTCATATATAACTAAAAAAATTGTGCTTTACACTGGAATTTGACACAACATCGTAAAATGACTATAACTCAATAAAAAGATGTTTTAAAAAAAAGGCAAAAGAAGACAGTCATGATTACCACGTGCTGCAACTCTGGTCTGTCTTCTAATTCTTCCACGACCTTTTTAATCTACAGAAAAAAAGAAACTTCTGAATGTTGAGTTATGCGGACACAAACACAACTGCAAAATTATCTGATAAACCCCTCTCTTCTTTACGGCAATAGTGGTCCCAGACACTCATCTGTTTTAACCCCCATAAAAACAAGAGACACTCACTGAAATTTTATCCTCATTGTCCAGAAGCATGTCAACAGCTTTCTGTAATATGAGAAAAAAAACCACAAAATACACGGTCACTGAAATTTGCCAAAGAAAAAGAGAACAGAAAAAAACAAAATGTATATGGTATTACCATTAAAGGTAGAGGCCTTCTTTTATGCACCTAAGGAGGTTCATAGCTTTACAGTGGTCCTTAGGTGAGATGTTTCTAAATGCGTTTTAAAATGGGCTTCAATCTGAGGTCTACGTGCGTTTGCATATGACTTAAAAGGAGCCTTGCTACCACTCCCTAATACAAAACACCTTGACTGCATATATTCTAGGCTCCCCGATGTCCCAGGTATCTTTGTAAGTTCTCGTGTGACTCTCAGTAGTTCCGGAGAGCATACCATGCGCAGCACCACAAAAATGAGCGGTGCTTCTGGCCACCCGAATATTCACTGTGTCCCCTACAGATTGAGAGTCCACAGATACAAGGAGCTGGTCTTACGTGGAGAAGAGGACAAACAAAAGGAAAAAAAAAGATACTTGAAGTTTCATAATGATACACAGTTTCTGGATTTTTAGAATTCACCTTTGCCACCTCTAACATAACCAGACGGTGTTTGTGACAAGAGGCGGGGGGGGGGAGGACAGCCCACCAGACTGAGGCTCCTTCACACCCCTGAGTCTTGGTCTTGACTCTGCTCTGCCACTGCCTCCCTGTCTGCTCCAAGCATTTTGTTTCTCTCTGAAATGTCAGGATGTTGAAAGAGATTATCCTTAAATTATTTTCTAATTACGAAGTACTATGATTCCTTAACTTTGATTCATGTTCTTGAATAGCTGTTACTTTCAGCTCATTCATCTTCTGTCTGTGGCTCCATATGCAGAACTAGGCTCGTGAGGCACGTGGTGGGGGTGGAACAATCGTAAGGGGAGACTATATATGGAGAAATGTAATTAATTTTTACATAAACTTCTTATCCTCTTAATCATTTTCTGTCCTGTACCTGAACTTCCTCAGAACCGCACTAATTCTTTTTAGACCTGTGGTCCCTAAGGATTTGACTCTTTCAGTGTGAAAAGTAGGCTAAAAGCATCTTTCAGAAAAAAGAGGTAGATTTAGCTCCTATTTACATTAAGTTTAAGTGCATGAAGTCTAATATATAGCACATAGCAGATATGTAACATAGCAGCACATAATACCCCTAAATATAGCAAAATACAACTTTAAAAAAATCCAGTAACTCTTTTGGAGCCTTAAGGGTGTTACTCTTTATCTAAAATTTCAATTTTTGGAATAAGAACTGTTTTTATGCATCCCCCTCCATCATGAGCACTTGGCATTAGCTTTCTTTTTTGAGACACACACACAGTTTGTATCCCTTTGCAAGAGCCACTGTGAGCTGTGGAGGTTGGGTGCCCTCATCAGACAAGCAGTCCGCTATTCAAATCTGTCCTGTAATCAAATAACCTGGACCTGAAGTAAACTGTCCTGGACCTGAGCATCACCCGAGATCAATGGAAACTCCACATGCTAGAGCTGTGAATGCCAAGGGAAAAGAATGCAACAAATGGATCAAAATAGTTTATTTAAAATTTTAAATCTGAGACATATAGTTAACAGGGTTGAATGAGCTAAAGCGTATGGCTGGATTCTTTGTTTCTGTGAATCCTATGAATTGTTTTACTAAAAAACTATTTTACACAGCTTTAAAAGTTCGCCATCAAATTATGATTGCTTTTACAGAATAACCGCATCAAGTAAAGGATTCCTGAGTGTCAGCTACTAACGTAACGTCTAGTGGGGGTCGGGGTGTTCTGAACATGATCAGCCAAGTCACATGACTGATTAACTCTTCCAGCACGTGGATAAATGTCTCATTATCAAAAATTTGGAATAGCACACATAACTGATCAGCATTCAATTAAGAAACACATTACCTCAGAATCAAAATCCATTAATAAGACAATTTTATCCTTGATAGAACTGAAAAGATTATGCTTGTGGATCAACTGGAAAACATCCTTATGTCTTAACGTCAAGTATATTTCCAGAGCGTTGCCATAGTTTTTGTCATAGGTGTACCTGGTAAGACAAAAACTTTCATGTTAACATTCACACACACTTCTGAGTAAACACACACTATACACATGTACCGATCATGTTTTACCTTAATGAAAACTGAAAAACTTGCCTGGAGAGAAAAGTTTACTTTATGGAAGAAAACTGTTCTTTCGGATTTAACTATAACATGACCAGTAAGTATTTCTTTCTCAGAACCTTGCTTCCCATCTCACCAAAGTTTTAGAAAATTTTTAATACCCAACTAATAAAAACTTTCCTTTATAGAAACTCTCAAAAATTTTTTTATAGGAATCTGTATATCAGATAAAGAATGACCCAGAATGAAAGACATTTTTATTCTGGTAATTAAAAAAAAAATCAGTAAAAATTCTTACAAGCAGGGTTCAGCTGACAAATGGGCGACATTCCAAAAGCTTATTCCTAAGGAGGTTATATAAAATGTAAATGTGCTTTTCTGTTGAAACAGCATTTTTCACATTGCTTAATTCCCTCAGCCGGCTTCCTAAAAGCCAACTGAACCTAAATTGCACTGTGAGTCCATTATTAACACTACAGAACTACTACTATTATTAGTACAGTGTCAGTCCTACAGAGTCCAAGGGAAACCAAAACAATGTTTCCAGAAGAAAAAGATCAGTGCTCCACAAACATGACTCCTTTTGTGGAAAGCCTTAAACAGCCCTGAATTCCAGGCCATTCTGGTGTACCTTTCTTGGTCTCGGACGAAAGATGTAAGAAGCTGATGGAGGGGGCTGCCTGAGGCTGGGAGGTGGTGCGAGGAGGGGCCGAGGCAAGACGGTCTTGCTGAGATTTCCCGCACGCAGCGTGCTTGTTCCACTAAACCAAAGCCCCTAGAGGGCCTGGGTGTGCCTTACCTGCCCCTGCACCACAGGCATGTAGCACAAAGCCCGGGACCCCGACAGTGCCCAATAAATACGAAAAGCATCAACCAAGCCTCCATTTTCTGAGCCCTGACTCGGTCTCAGGCACGGCACGTCGTTTTTGATTATGAACTTTCATAATCGTTTTGAAATTACGAAATCCATCCCATGAAGAACTGTCTTATCACCTGGGATCTCATGGATAAGGAGTCTAAGGTTTGAGAAACTTACCGGCTTGCAGACCCAAGGATGATGGCGCCCAGGGCCTCACTGGGAAACTGATCTGGGCGAGGGTCTAAGTCCCGGTCCCCTTCCCCCACCAGGCCACTGCCTCTACCCAGGGCTGCTGACAAGGGTTCCTCTCCTCTGGGATCACATTACAGCTGTACCGCTTCACACTTTGTCCTTCCCTTCCCTTCCGGCTGTCCACTCGAGGTTTATGGAAGGTTTTTAATAAGAGTGAATGTGGGAAAATGGTATACAAACTTTGTCCTTCCCATTCAGTTCGCCGGATTTTAAATACAAACAACTTTTCATGCAGATTGATTTGGAAAAAGCAGCACTAACAGGATACTCACAGTTCTGCCAGGGTTTTAAGTAAGGTCCTGTTCTGACTGTCTTTCTTCAGGTGATCCCGGACTGCTTGAACTATCACCGAATTGTTGTACAGATCTCCGGGCCATTCCCGGATCAGCGTGGCAAAGCCCTAACCGAGGCGGGGAAAACGGACAAAGAACTCTTTAAACACGAAAATAATCCAGAGAGTTCCAACACTGCCTCAAAGTATTTGTGGAAAACAGACAAAACCATTTTATGATTAAAACACTGGTCCATGAACATATTGTCAATTTTCAGACTGCGGGCTTGGGGATGGCGAGGGGAGGCAGAGAATGACTGCACATCTCCACTCGCCACTCCTGGGGAGCAGGCGGGGCCACCGCTTCTCCAGCTACTGGGTGAAATGCACAAGGAAGCAAGCCCCCTTGGTCCTTCCATAAAGGGCCACTGCACAAAGTTCAGGTCTGATTCGCTCCTTCCTCATCCTGGACTGACTCTAACATTTGAGGTCATCTTTAACGTCTCACAGATACTGTCCAAGTCAGCTGCCCTCCCCACCACCATCTGTGCCCTTGAGGTCTGGGCTGCCACGTGCACTGGTCGTGAAGTCGTCACTGTGCTGCCAGCGCTACGCACATGGCGGCTTTGCTCCCACGGCGGAATCACCCTGCATCCCACCTTCAACAAGTTATCATCTCTGTTCTTCTTCCGCTCCTGCCTCTAAATCTACTTTTCTTTGGGCATCTGGGACTTTGGTTCAAGTCTTATCCCCTGCTCCTAACCCTGGCTATCTAAGGATCTCAGATTTTGTGGTTCTGATAGAAAACTCCAGATCCCCTGACTGGATCCTCTTTTCCTCCATGGCTGATTCTTGGCCAGTGTCCCGGGCAGCCTCCGCCCTCCTGATTCCTAACTTTAGCTCTTGTAACTCAGAGTAGTTGTAACTTAGCCCCTGTAACTCAAAGCAGTTTCCTTACTGATCCTTGACAACTTTTAGCTAAAAAACTTAGATGTATTCAAAAGATAGCAAATATTTGAAGTAAATTTTCTTCACATTTTTGAAGAAGATCATATTACCAATATTAAATAACTCAACTAATGCTTTAATGAACTACTATGAGTTGGTTTAAATGGTATTTAGAAATGAAAACAGTGTGGTCGAATTTGCTTCTATAAAGTACCAGGATTTGGTAAGAAGAAAATCACCAAAGAATCAGCAATATAGTTTTCATTCAGTTCCTACCCACTTTGTACTGAAGTAACCCCTACGAAGTGTGACGGCAAAAGACCAGAACAACATGCTAACACGCTGTACATTCTCCAAACTGCAGCCTTCCTTCATATGAGCATGGCTGCAGTTTGACTGGAGAGATTTGGGGAGAGGCTTCAATAAGTAAAGATGATATATTTTATAAAATGACTGAATCAGAGCATTAAAATGTTCTCTGAATCAAAATGATACTTTGGATGAAGTTTCTGTTTTCTTAAGACTCTGAAATTTGTTAAGATTAAAAAAAGTCTTGAAAAGATTTCCACTCCAACACTGGCAGCTCTCAGTAGCCTTGAGACCAGGAATAATACTGTTCAGGGAAAGAAGAAACCTTGGCTCCTTTCCCCCCTTTTTCTGATTCAGGCAACAGCCTTGCAGTATTGCCAACTTCGAACACAAAATAAGACAAAATGACAGGTCATATTGTGCGATAAAAACATGATGACTCCAGCGTAAACTGAAACAAACATTTATCACATTTCACCTTAGGCTTTTCTCTGCTTAACTGGCTTTGTGCACCCTTGAAATAAATGTGCTTAGAAAATACTGATGAGCTGCCACTATGGAAAACAGTGTGGAGACACCTCAGAAAACTGAAAATGGAGTTACCATATGACCCAGCAATCTCACTCCTGGGCATATGTCTGGAGAAAACTCCAATTCAGAAAGATACATGCGCCCCAATGTTCACAGCAGCACTATTTACAATAGCCAAGACATGGAAGCAATCTAAATGTCCATCAACAAATGAATGAATGGATATATAAGTGTGATGTATGTACACACACACACACACACACACACACACACACACACACACACAAAATGGAGTACTACTCAGCCATAAAAAAGAATGAAATAAGGCCATTTGCAGCAACATAGATGGACCTACAGATTATCATGCTAAATCAAGTAAGTCAGAGAAAGACAAACATCATATGATATCACTCATATGTGGAATCTAAAAAAATGACACAAATGAACTTACTTACAAAACAGAAACAATATCACAGACATAGCAAACAAACTTATGATTACCAAAGGGGTTTGGAGTGAGGGATAAACCGGGAGTTTGCGATTAACAGATACACACTACTAGATATAAAACAGATAAACAACGAGGTCCTAATGTATAGCACAGGGAACTATATTCAATGGGTTGTAAAAACCTATAATGAAAAAGAATGTGTGTGTGTGTGTGTATATATATATATATATATATATATATATCTATATCTTAATCACTATGCTGTACACCTGAAACAAACACAACATTGTAAATCAACTATACTTCAATTTCAAAAATACTGATGAAATCACCCACAGGGCCTTTATTATTAATTAGAGGACACAGTTATCAGGGGACTGTCATGATCAAGTGGGCAAAGTTACAGCACCCCTCAGTGCCCATCAGAGTAAGTAAAAGTTTAAAGAGTAACCAGTAGGGTGGGGGGAGGGTGTAGCTCAAGGGGTAGAGCGCATGCTTAGCATGAATGAGGTCCTGGGTTCAATCCCCAGTGCCGCCTCTAAATAAATAAATGATAAATAAACCTAATTACCTCCCCCAACCAAAAAAATTTTTAAAAAAGTAGTTTTGGGATTTGGAGTTTAGGAAGCCTTAAAAAAAAATACGAACCAGTAAGTGAAATGCCACAGAAACCATCCCACTTTTAACATGCTTATACATTTGCCATTAATATTATGAAGCAAAGCTTAACTCTTTGCAGTAATTCTGCTGTTATAAATTAAAAGGCAAGGTGATATCCATTTCAGTAGAAACCCCTTACAAATGAGTCATGAAACATCAGTACCTCCCAGGAAATACTGTGACTTCATGTCTTTTTAGGAAGAAGAGAAAATTCCTGAGAAATACAATTTCTACTTTTCTCCTGACCTTTAGTGCTATTTAGTGGCACAAAATTTTCGTCTATTTTATATGTGATCAAACGTGTTGCTTTAGAACACTGCTTTCTGATCAATTATGTGACAATTTAATTCAAAGTTAAACAAGACACTGAGAATGATAGAAGCTAAAATATGAATTATTTATAAGAACTTATGACAAAAACAAATCATTTATAACCTTTTTAATAGTACTGATCAGGCAGACACCTTCAAACATTCAGGAAAAACATCTACAAACTCTAAATTTAAGTCATGCTTATTTCTTTCAGTCTCAGGCAAAAGCCTTCCAGATATGAATTAGCTGGATAACTTCAATGAAACAAGACCGAAAACAGTTTCTTGAAAAAGTAGGAGTTGAATCATGTGGAAGAATTGTAACAGAATCATAAAAATAACAAAATCGCTTTTTTTTCCCCACGGTTAAATTACATTACATTAAAAAGAGGACAAGAATACTAAGCTTAGGTATTTCTAAATAAAGGCCATACTCTCCCCATCATTTTTCACAGAACACTCATAAATCTCTTTCTTTTGGGAAGATGTACAAAGATGGATTATTTATGATAGCCGCTCCGTGTACTCAGAACATACTGGAAGGAAACAAGTCCATCACGAGTCTATTCACTCAAGAAACCTTTTCCAATAACTATGGCCAATAACTGCCTCTCACTAGATCTCTTATAACACATAGCTCTTCCTGTCTTAAGTTATTTTCTAGTTGCTTAAAACTTATTAATATGGTCTCCCCAGTCAATCTTAAACGCACATAAGCCTAGGGCTGTGTTTTGATTTCTCTTGGATCCAACTGAGTTCTCAGCCCAGTTCCAGACCATGGCAGGTTCTAAATGAAGATACACTGAATTGAACAGGATGGGAAATGAATCGGAACCACGCTTCCAGATGACATCAGTTGGTACCCAGCATTAAATGACAGAAACTATTACCATAAACTCGTCTGTACAGCCCTGGAAAAGAACAGGCCCAGGCTGGCAGAGAAGACTAGCTTATATCAGAACATGGGCTAAAAAGAGAGGACGATGAGGAAATGTTGCCTCCATTAGTATACACGATTATTAAAGAAATATTTTGTTCCAGTTTAATTTATGCTGAAGCACTTAACTGCTCCCTGCGAGAAGAACAGACTCATTAACAGTAAAGCAACTGCGCAGGTCACGTGTGCATCAGGATGCTTGAGGCTGACGGATCCAGAATGGCTGACAGTAACTGACCAAACACTGGAGTTATCAGGGTAAACGTTCACTATCTGAAAGGTCCCTTGAGATCTTAAGCTCTAAAAATAGTCTCAGCGTTAAAACGCAGTATTTGCATTATTACCCCTCCTTAACTTGAATCAATTATCGGTATTAAAAAGTAGGCACCCCAAACATAAGGAGTTCCTTTTCTCATTCCCTCTCTAGTCTGATCGCCCCCTTCTGTTTCTTTAAAAAATATCTATAATTAATATATAATTAATTAATATATATTATACTTTCTGCAAGCCACCCCACATTCTTACGGGGAAGAGGAAAGTTGAAAATAAAGTCTTCCTTATTTTTAAAACATAACATCAGAACATACAGAGGCAGCGACACCTTGCAACAGACAAAGGAGGCACCAAAAATGAAAAGGTATCACTGGGTTGGGCCCCTGAACTTTATAAGGAGCTGAATACATTGCCCCTTTTATGAAAGACTGTGAAGGCTGGGCAGAAACTGGAGAACAGCAGCCTGCGGCCTGAAGTCTCCTGGTTTATGGATCTTTCCAGCACTGCTTATGGCTCTGGAAAACAGCTTCCCACCCTCGTCCAGAACCTGCCTGCAGGAAATCCCATTTTTTCCTCTGGTCAGAAGTGGGAGGAGGCTGAGTCTTAACCACACTTCGTTGACAGCTTTATTAGAGCTCCCAGCATATTATGTAATAACA